AGACAAGAGGTTGTGGTTGTTTCATCTTCTGATCCCTCCATTATGCGTCTGGAACAAGCAATTGGTGAAATCAGAGAAGAGAAACAAGTCTTAAAATAGAGCATAAATCAACAGAAGGTTGTTAATGATCGAGTTCAGAACATGCTTCAGTTGATTTTGGACAAGCTATATGCTCCAATGCCATCTTCTTCTAGACCCTATGCTCTTAGGATTTTCTTTTTCCCTTTTCTCGGAACCTTAGGTTTTTGTCTGTTTCTTTTGTTTTTCTTCTTGTCTATCTGATGTTATTTTTTAACTTCAATAAAGTCTTGTTTTTAATTATTTCACTTCTTATTTTCTTTTCACTCCTTTCCTTCTTTTACTTCTTATGTTTTATGTTTTTCACACATAATTACCTTTTTGATTATGACAAAAGGGAGAGTAAATAACTGGAGTAATAATTTAATTTCTAATAATCAAATTCTCTGAAAAACTTATCTGAAATAAGGGGAGCTTCTTACATTCTAACCAAGATAAACTTCTGTTTTTGTTAGAATTGTTTTCTTTTTCATGAATCATGAACTCTGATTGAAATCAAGATCTGAAAGTGTTATACAAGGTTTTGTCTAACTTTTGGAATCAGATTCTAAGAAGATTAAGTTCATAATTAGGCTATGAATTGAAATCTGAAATTAGACTTCTATTGTTTTCGTGACTCTGAAGTTTCAAGATCTCAATTGGCATGATTGACATCAAGAATCAAGACTCTCAAAATCTCAATATCTAATCTATTGCAACCAGGGGGAGTTTTACCCATACAGTTCATAATCAGGATATTTGATCTTCATCAAGTCTTAGATTTATGGGGAGTTTAATATAAAGGATAAGTATTTCTTACCTTTCTTATCTCTGATACTTTTTCTGATTATGTACAAAATTGTGTCATCAAAATACATAGTTTTGTCATCATAAAAAATGGGGAGATTGTTAGAACAAGATTTGGTTATGCAATTATACCTCTTTTGATGATAACAACGAGTATGTTTGTATGAACAATTTTGGTACTCTAATGTTTATTATTTTTAGTATTTAATAAAAAGGTTCTAATTATGATGAAAGGCATTTCCAAGTCATTAGAAGAGACCAAGTTCCACTTCCACGCTATACAAGTTCTGATGAACAGTAGCAAACTACTTTAGAAGGCTCTGAAGTTTAGACTCTGATGCACGATCAAAGAAACCAAGTTCTGAAGATCTAAAGACAGAAGTTCTAATGAACAATCCAGATGCTGAAGACTTATGTTTTTGAAGACAAAGGGTTCTGAAGAACAAGTGCTGAAGATTCTAAAGACGAAACTCTGAAGACTCTGAAGACTTGAAGTTCTGATGGACCAATAATTATTTTCTTTCTTCTAACTCATGCCCAGTCAGAAGCCTCTGAAGTCCAGAAAATAAGAAGATAAAATTACGTGGTACAATAGTACATGGTACAAACAAACATTTCATTCCACTACCATAAATGAACGGATGCTCCGTACGATCTTGTCCCCCACGTTAAATTAAGTTGTCAGCTTTCTGGAATTTCCATAAATGCCCTTCAATGGATATATTATTTTATTGGCTATATATATGCTTGAAGACCAAAAGGAAAAGGTTTCTAATTCACACGTTCTCAAAAGACAATTCATATCATTCCTTATTTCTTAAAGTCTATTGTTCTTGAAATATTGTTTACTATCAGCTTGTGTAGAAGCAAATCTTCTGTAAACAAATCTTTTTCAAACAGTTGTTAGATTGTACCTTAAGGGACCGGTTGGTCAGAATTCTTGAGAAGTCTAATATTAGTGTGTCTTAGAGGTTGTACGTGAGTCACTTGCATTTAGCTTGTGCATTGTAATAACCTGTGAGATTATTGGATTAAAACCTTGTTTGATAAGGAGAAATCACCTTGACGAGTGGACTAGATTAGCTTGATAGTTTTCAAGCGAACTAGTATAAACATAACTTGTTCTTTCCTTCTTGCATCTTTAGTATTATTATCAATAGTTAATAAAAACTGCTTTTAGTTAAAGGGGATTATTTTTAAAGAATTTTTTTTGATTTAAAACTCAATTCAAATCCCCATTTCTTGTGTTTTTCACACCTTCAGATAAGTGATATGGTGAGGATATGGAGTCCTCGAAAAAGAATGAGACATGAGATCTTGTTCAGCTGTCACAAGGAAAGAGAGTTATTGGTTACAAGTAGGTGTACAAGAAAAAGCTCAAATAAAAATGGTGCCAAGAAACTCAGGATCCACCTAATGGTGGAGCCTGAAATCTGGCGGTGACACCAAATGTGCACGTCCTCGTTTCACCATTTTGTCCTAACTGTCACATAAAAGATAACACCAGTTAGAAATTAGATTTGTATTCCTAAAGGTAAGAAGGTCCCTAATTTTTACATCATGGGGTCACGGCCAAACGCTGCCCCGAAAGATTCAGTGAAGTATAAGGCTTCTCATCTTAGGCCGCAATGGTCATGTTTAGTTTATTGTAGGATCAAAGAAATGAGGCAAGGTGAGCAATCGCTTCCATATAAGTCAGATCGTGAGAGTTTACATTTCCATCCTCTTTATAAAAGTTAAGAGAACCATTCTCGTTTTCAATGAAACCACATCTAGACCCGAACTATCATTTAAAACAACAAGATTGGGGTTGGGACCATTGACTTCCAGAGGTTCACATATGGGATATCAGGATTCTCATAAATATTTGATACGGGAGAGTCACTCCCTTAAATTCATTCATGTTCTCAGACATATCTCCTAGATTAGCCATGGTAAACGATTAAAGAGATAAAACAACAAACAAAAGGAAAAGTTTAGAATATGGTACCTGAGCAAGAGGATGAAGTGGAATGAACTAGTTGAAGTAGGGAAAATTTGATAATGTGAGAGCTCTAACAAGAAAGGGAGGTAGCTAAAAACTAGAATCACCAAAGTGTTAGAGATGAAAGATAAAGAGGTCAGAAGAACATTGAAGTCAAGTATGAAAGGGAACAAAATCGGATAGAAATGCCAAAATCGGCCCTTCTATAGTAAATGAGTAAGTGAACCGACATTGTAGAACAAAGGTAAGGGGAGGGCAAAAAATCGCGGGTCCAGATGATACCTCAAAAATATAATAGCACTTGAGTGCATTCAAAGGGGCTAGGAAGAAGCGTCACGCTCTAACCTATAAACTTAGGGCCACGCACGAAGTAACATGTGAAACATCTCAATCATTGAATGTGCATTTAATGAAAATGTCTCTGGACCTTTACCACTTCTCAACACGAGATCACGAGGAGATGTATCCAGCCCAACTTCCGGAAGACTTCCCATACACCACAACATAGCAAGCCTTTGGGGCAAGTATTCTAGGGTGACTTCAGGCCTAAGGAAAGGAAGGCCTAATTTCTCCCACCATATAAATGTGACCATTGGTGCGCAAAAGGTATGATTTTCTCCCTTTACTCACTTTATACCCCTTACTCAAAGACTGATTTTAGTATTGAAATGTTAACATTGTAGATACATCTCGCACAACTACACTGTAGCAACGTGTCTCATCACCGTGAAGACCTACACCAATAATTCTAGTTCTGAAACCGAACAATTTGTAAGAAAATGTTTTTTTATTTAATAAACTATTTATTGATTAATTTATAAGATATCGAGTGTTTACAATTATGCTTGACATTTCAAGATAATTAGTTTCTTTACCAGATGTGTGTGATTTGTAGATCTTGAAACTTATGTTAATTTAATCTTATGAATAAAAAAAGTAATTATTTGAAGAAAAAAAGTTTTATGTATTGGTGACTTGTTTTGGTGACTTGGTTACTGGACATGTATCTCACCACATTTCATCAAATTTTGAATTGGATTCATGTCTATGAAATTGCTCAGTTTAGTATTAGAGTCGACTTTGAGTTACATACAACTCAAGATAACTCGTCCTTTGAACACTCATGCTAAACACTATAAATTCAATAACCTAACTTATCTTATCGACTACCAACTATTATATAATTGATTATTATATGCTATGAATTCATCTTTTATAAACTACTTTTTTTAATCTTAAATTATAAGATATTTTGATTATTTCACACAAACTAAAGAATGAATATTTTTATATGAAAAATAGATATAATTTTATGAAATTATACATGAGAAAAAAAAAAAAAAGAATTGAAATAAGAGAGATTAATAAATAATAAATAATATATTAAGATACTTAAATAAGATAATTTATGATTTGAACGTATATTTATATATGAGATAAATCTTCACCATAAATTTGATTTTGTAAAAATGAGTTAAGGCAACTCAAATTCTAAAATAATACACGTGTTTAGCTCAAACTTCATTAGACCATATTAGATTTTATTTATAAATGAAAACAGTTATCATCTATTAATTTAATTCCTTAAAAAAAATTTAAAAAGAGAAGATCCTAATTTCTTATAAAAGTCGAAAAAAACTCAAAAGGTTATGCTTTTAAGACGGAGCTAATAGTAACTTTTTAAAATCAATTTTGGTTGTTGGCAAAAAATAAAACCTTAAACTAATTTTATAAATACTTAAATTATTACATGTAATTAGAACACTTTCATTTTCCAACTTTGTCATTTAAACAAAACTGTTCCAACAACTCCAACATCCAAAGACTAAGAAACTGAAATCCTAAAGGTCAATAATCTTTATTTAACTTTCCTTTTCTCTATTTATATTTCTCTATTTTCAAGTCATGAATCACAAAATTCATACACTTCTTTGGTATGTTACATTCAAATTTCTCCAATTCTGTTTTCTCTCAATCTTGTGTATGAGTACTCATGCTATTGTTATTGTTCTTGTTCTTGTCACACACTTGTTAGAATTATAGCACATGTTTTTGTTAGATCATGTTTTTATTATGATGTTACATTAATTTGAATGAATTTTATTATGATGCTCATGTTAACAGAATTCATTTTGACATAGATAAAAGGAAAATGGTTTCTGGTCTAGAAGATGCTCTTATTGAAGAATTAACAACAAAGTTATCAGTTAGTGATAAAAAAGAAGAAGATGAAAAGAATTTGTGCAATTCTTCAATTGAAATATCAATTGCATGTTTGAGGAAGAAGCTTATTGTTCTTGATATTAATGGTCTTCTTGCTGATATTGTTTCTTCACCTCTAAAGCATGTTAAACCAGATGCAATCATAGCCAGGAAGAAATGTGAGCAATAGCTTTTATTTATTTATTTTTTATTATTATGTTTGACTTCACAAGTTTTATAATGCTTAGTATAATTTTTTTATCACTTTAGTCTTATTTAGTATAAGAAAATAGTATATGTCACAAATTTTAAAGTGTATTTATAATATAATCAGTTCTATTTACTTTGAATTTTTAAGGTGTATTTAATATTTAAAGTATAAGAAAATAGTTTATAATGCTTTTATTTATTTTTATTTATTATTATGATTGACTTTACAATGTTTTATAATGCTTAGACTAAATTTTTTATCACTTTAGTCTTATTTAATTAATATAAAAAAATAGTATATGTCACAAATTTTAAAATATATTTATAACATAGTCAGTTCTATTTACTTTGAATTTGTAAGGTGTATTTAATATTTAAAGTATAAGAAACTAATTTATAGTGCTTTTATTTATTTATTTTTTATTATTATGTTTTACTTTACAAGTTTTATAATTCTTAGACTAAATTTTTTACTACTTTAGTCTTATTTAATTAGTATAAGAAAATATGTCAAAAATTTTAAAGTATATTTATAACATAGTGAGTTCTATTTACTTTAAAATTTTCAGGTGTATTTAATAATTAAAGTACAAGAAAATAGTTTATAATGCTTTTATTTATTTATTTTTTATTATTATGTTTGACTTTACAAGTTTTATATTGTTTATACTAAATTTTTTATCACTTTAGTCTTATTTAATAAGTATAAGAAAATAGTATGTGTCACAAATTTTAAAGTGTATTTATAACATAGTTTCTCTACTTTGAATTTGTAAGGTGTATTTAATGTTTAAAGTATAAGAAAGTAGTTTATAATGCTTTTATTTATTTATTTTTTATTATTATATTTGACTTTACAAGTTTTATAATGCTTGGACTATATTTTTTACCACATTAGTCTTATTTAAATAGTATAGGAAAATAATATATGTCACAAACTTTAAAGTATATTTATAATATAGTCAGTTCTATTTACTTTGAATTTTTAAGGTGTATTTAATAATTAAAGTATAAGAAAATAGTTTATAATGCTTTTTTTTTATTATTATGTTTGACTTTACAAGTTTTATAATGCTTAGACTAAGTCTTTTATCACTTTAGTCTTATTTAATTAGAATAAGAAAATGGTATATGTCACAAATTTTAACGTATATTTATATTTATTTTGAATTTTTAAGGTGTATTTAATATTTAAAGTATAAGAAAATAGTTTATAATGCTTTTATTTTATTTTTATTGTTATGTTTGACTTTACAAGTTCTATAATGCTTAGACTAAATTTTTTATCACTTTAGTCTTATTTAATTAGTATAAGAAAATAGTATATGTCACAAATTTTAAAGTATATTTATAACATAGTCAGTTCTATTTACTTTGAATTTTTAAGGTGTATTTAATATTTAAAGTATAAGAAAATAGTTTATAATGTTTTTATTTATTTATTTTTTATTATTATGTTTGAATTTACAAGTTTTATAATGCTTAGACTAAATTTTTTTATCACTTTAGTCTTATTTAATTAGTATAAGAAAATAGTATATGTCACAAATTTTAAAGTGTATTTATAACATAGTCATATTTACTTTGAATTTTAAGGTGTATTTTATATCTAATATTTTTTTATAAAATAAATTTGTAAATTTTTTAAAAAGTTACAACAATTATTAATTGTAATGGATTTTCTTTTCAATAAGTTTATTTTATTATTAATTTATTTTAAATTTTAAGCATTGACAATATATGAATTGTATTTTTTTTTTCAGTATTCAAGAGGCCTTTTTATCTTGAGTTTCTTAATTTCTGCTTTGAGAGATTTGAAGTTGCTGTGTGGTCTTCAAGATTGAAGTAATCTTTAACCTAACCCTTGTGCTCTATAAAATATCACTCAATAACTTGTTTTTACTTTGTATACAATTAATTGGTTATTGCTTATAATTTTGTAGGAAAAATGTTGATATGGTCATTGATTATTTGATGGGAGACATGAAACAAAAGTTGGTTTTCTGTTGGGTAAGAATTAGTAAGCAATTAATCTATTTTATTTAATTTCCAAATTATCTCTGACTTTCAACTAAATTGTCCTCTAGAAAATCTATCAGAGACCTAAGTTAACCATATTTTAACCATGATCAAATAAATATAAATAGTATTTAACCACAATTTAATAATGATAAATATTTTATAAAATTTTATTTAAAAAAAATTAATTGCAATGAATTTTAAACATATGTAGTAGCCCGTTTCTCACATTCTACATATTTATTCTACATATATTTTTTTACAGGATTTGTCACATTGTACTGAAACAAGTTTCAAAACTCTTGAAAACAAGCACAAACTACTTGTTTTTAAGGATTTAAGGAAGATTTGGGACAAGTCCAATCCTAATCTTCCATGGGAGAAGGGATATTACAATGAATCAAACACACTCCTTTTGGATGATTCTCCCTACAAGGCACTGCTTAATCCGGTAAACAAACAAACAAACACTCCCATCTTTTTTTTTTGTCTCATTTAGCATTCTTATTTCTAGGTATCATACATGTATTGACATTTCTTAACATATTCTTAACATGTAGCGGTATAATTCAATCTTTCCTCATACATTCAATTATAGGAATCACAATGACAATTCATTAGGTATGCATACTTTAATGTTTAACGTTTGAACCCGAACTTATGTTATGCATTATTAGTAACAATTTTTTTATGTCAGCGACCGGAGGCGATCTGCGACGATATTTGGATGGATTAGCAAGTGCTGAAAATATGCTCAAATATGTAGAGGAGCATCTATTTGGTCAAGAACGTATATCTGAAACAGATGAATCTTGGGATTTTTACCTTAATGTTATCAATAGTGTGTCTGTTTGTAAATCTTAAAAGTGAAAATGTAATTTCTTTTAATTTGAATATGATAATTTAGTTTGTCTGTTAGGCTAAGTTAAATTCATATTAGAATTTTTGTGTTTTTTCTTTGGATTAAAAATATATATGTTGAACCTAAGAGTATTTGGATGAAATCACGGATCTCTTTCGATTTGGGTTTGCGTCTATTATGATTCTTTAAAGTTTGAGAAATTAGTGTCTATTATGGTCCTACATTTACAATTTCGCCCAAAATATTCGATTTATATAAAAAGAAAAAAATACAAGTGTTAAAGAATTGTGATTAAAGATTTGCAGAAAAATATTTATAAATTTTGCTAGATTTGTTTTGTGATTACATATCTATATATGTGTACAAATTAAACTGTCCTGTAGTGTTTAATGCGACATAAGATGTGCTAAATAGGTTTTTTTAGTGACTAAATGATGTGTGCAACATAAGATTAACCAAATAAGTTTCCTACGTTGCAAAAAAATGATGTTTGTAACAACCAAGGTTAAATATCAAAGGTATATTAGGGTTTGATATAATCCCAATATTAAAATATATAGTGTGGAAGTATGCTTTAAAATTATAAGTGATGAAAAATGAAAACATATTTTGAGATTGTAGAAATTATAAAGTCATAAAAACATCTAAGAAGTACCGGAAGGCGTTGAAACTACTTGGAGATTTTTTTGCCAAAAGTGACTAGTGGCGACAGTGGTGCTGGCGACTAGCGGTTGACGTTTGGACAACAACGGCATCAACGTGGGTCAATCTTGTGCGGTTCAAGCTTCTTCGTTTTTGTTCATTGATCTGTTTATTAATGGGTTGTGTTTTGGGCTTTAGGTATGCATTTGTTGAGTTTCTACCGTTATTAATATGCATCTCTTCCATTATTGTTAAAATAGAGAGAAACAACCTTCATAACTTAGATAGCTGAAGACAAAGATACGGATTTGAGAATTCTAGTGATAATCTTTTAGAGACAAGGATAAATTCTTAAGAGTGTGTTCCTGAAATTTGAGAAATTCTTGGAGGTGTCTAGGAAGATTGGGAAACACATCTAAATATATTGGGTTTGTATGATTCATATATAAAGAGTTAGAGAGATTGATAAACACTTTGTTAGAAAATAGAGTTTGTTCTTAAAAACTTCGGTGACAATTATCTTATAACTCATTTATAATCTCTTGTAACAACTTTTGGAAGTATAGTAAATTGAAGAGTTGTTGTCTCCCCCAGACATATATCATTTTGGTTGAACTGGATAAACAAATTCTATGTGTTCTCGCATATTATTATTTTTTATTGCTTGAGGTCATTTATCTGGTTGTCAGTATTCTTTGTCCCACATATCAAATTTCTTGGTGTGATTGATCTCTTAATAATTCTTCTGAAGTGATTTTAATTATCATATCAATTTCACAACAAGTGACGTCTACCATGGAGAAAATGGGTTTTGTTTACAAGTGAGCACCATGAGCAAATGAGAGGTAGAGAATTTTCCAGAAACAACAATTTTGGATTGCGGAACGGTTATTCTAGCCTTGAGTGTTATGCTTCGAATGTAGCTAAAAGGTTGAAAAACTCATCAAGAGATACCTTTAGGGAGACATTCTAAAGTTGGTGGAGTCAAAGAAGGTTGACGAACCATACTTGTGGGCTTGTTAGGCTATCCAAGCAGAAAAAAGTGATTGTAAGCAAGTGGATGCAAGTGGTGAGATCAAGGTTCAAGGGTGACTAGAACTTGATAGAGGATGTTAAATAAGTGTTTCAACATAGTAGATAAAAACAAAATGGTTAGTGGATAAATTAGCATCACCTCAGTTTCAAGTCAAAGTGAAAATTGTTGAAGTATGTCTTAAAACCTTAAGTGATGAAGAGAAAGAAAATATAAGTTAAGATTGCAGAAACCATAAAGCAATAAAAATAGTCAGGAAGCCATCAGAAGGCGTCAAACTACTTAGATATTTTTTCGGCGAAAGTGACCGGTGGCAGCAACGGTTGCCGTCGGTGGCAACTTGGGTCAGTTTTGTGCGATTCGGTTTTTTTCGTTTTAGTTCGTGGATTCGTTTGTTAATGAGTTTTGTTTTAGGCTTTTGGTATGGATTTATTGGGTTTCAACAATTATAAATATGTATTTCTTCCATTATTGTCAAACTAGGTGGAAACAACCTTCGGGACTTCGAGAGTTGAACACATATAGAAGAGTTTGGAAATCTTAGTGATAATCTTATAAAGACAAGGGTAAATTCTTAAGAGTATGTTCTTAGAATTTAGGAAATTTTTGGAGTTGTCTAAGGGGGATGAAGAAACACTTCTATATACCTTGCGCTTGTGTGATTCATATATAGAAAGGGTTGGAGATATTGGAAAAACACTTAGGTAGAAAATAGAGGTTGTTCTTGAGAACATGAGTGACTATACTCTTATAACTCATTTGTGATCTTTTGTAATAATTTTTAGAAGTATACTGAATCAGAGAGTTGTTCTCTCTCTCAGACGTAGATTGATTTGATCGAAATAGATAAACAAACTTCTTATTTTCTCACGTATTATTCTTTATTTTTTAAGATAATTTATTTAATTATCATTATTCTTTGTCTCATTCCCATATTAAATGTTTTAGTATGATTAAACTCTAAATAATGTAAATGATTTCCAAAGTATTGTTTGGAAGCTTGGATTTCAAAAATAATGAATATATATACTGCATATCAAATTGTGTCAATTAATTATGATAGTCTAATGGTATGGGATGTAATAATCATAGCAAGGGAGTGCGGTGGTAAAAATAATGTTCAAAAGTTCAACGCCAAGATCCAAACCCATATCCACTTGAAGATTATTTAATGTTTTGCTATCAGACCATTGCAAATGTTTGTGATATTGAATCATCAGTAAAAGGATATAATGCTTCATAATTTAAGGTTCAGAATTTTATTCAAAAGTGATAACATATCAAATTCAGTAAAAGTGATATCAACTTCTTTATGGTTAGATATACTTGAGAAGGAGAAATAACATATCAAATTAGACTTTTTTAATCCATTTTCCGCTTATTACAAGCATTCTAAATCATCTTTCATTTCATTAATGCATGAGTGAAGTGTAACAAATATTTTTTTAGTAATTGATTATCAAAATAAAAATTTAGTGTGTTTGTGCAGTTCACATTAAATAATTTAAAATATTTTTAACAATATATTTGGATGAGGTAATTAGGAATTTTTAAGGAATTTAAAATTCTAAGCAATTCAAATGTTCAATTGAAATCCATTCAATTTTAATCTTTTTTGTTTGGATGAAGTATTAAATGATTCAATGTTAAATTTTTAGGGTCATTTTCATAAATTTTTAAATTTTTGAGCCAAATTTAAAATATGAAAAATAGGGACTAATTTGCAAATTTTGAAAATTTCAAAGGACCAAACTGTAAATTTAAAAAATTATTTAGGGACTTATTTGCACTTTTTTGAAAATTTTAGGGATAAATTTGTAATTTTCATAAAATATGAGGACCTTTTGCAAATTTTGAAAAATTAATAATAAACAATTTAGCATTCAAATTATGGAGCAATCTCAAATTATTTACTTTTTGGTGTCATTTGAAATTCCTTAAATTTGACTTGAATAAAATGCTTCAAAAATTTACATCATTTTAACAATTCTCCATATTTTTATCCAAACAATAGATTTTGATCAAACCATTATAAATTTCCTCACAAAATTACTTTCCCTCATTAAAATGCTTCATCCAAACACACTATAAGGGAATTCGTCGTTAATCCTGATATATAATAATTGTTGGGGAAAATTTTTCAAGTGCGGTATTCATCAACACCTTCTTTGTTCTATTGTTGCTACATATCCATCAACAATCACAAATATCTAACAAATAATTCTTTTGAAGTGGTTTTAGTTATTCTATCAATTTCACAACATATATCAGAGATAAAGATATTGTGTTGGATGTGTGGCAAAATTATGCGAGATAAGATTAAAAAGGACAATATTGTTAGATGTGTGGCAAAATTAGGCAAGATAAGATTAAAAATAACAATATTAAAAGAGTATTGATGTAACACCTATAATAGACAAGATGGTAGAAAATACACTTAGGTGATTTTGGTAAATAGAGATAATACTATAGATTTTGTGGTTATGAAAGTTGATCAAATGAAGAGAAGTCGAACAAATAGAGGTAAAAGAACCTTAAAAAAATTATAAGAAATGTTATTAAGAAAGATCCTGAGATTAAAGATTTGGTTAGAAGTATAATCCTTGATAGAATAATAATATAAAAATTAATTCATATAACTAATCCTACTTAGTAGGACAATGTTTGTTGTTATTATACATGTTATTATGTGTTATGTGTTCTTTATAGCATAAAATTTTGCTGGAATTCTTATGATGAAACTTGGAAAAATTAATTGGCATTAAATTGACAATAAATGAGTAAAAGTATGAACTAATGTAAATATAAGTGAATTTGAAAAAATTCATTTCAGTCTCACATAGAAAGGACAACACACACACACACACACACATATATATATATATATATATATATATATATATATATATATATATATATATATATATATATATATATATATATATATATATATATATATATACCAAGTGGAAAAAATAGATTGGACCCCAAGAGATACCTAATTTTGTGGTTGAGTGAGAACACGCTATCATGAACATAACACACGCCCTCGCCTCCACTGTCAGCTTGGTTCGGTCCTGGCTTGGGCTTGAGATTTGATCCAATAATTTTTTGGTACTCGATAGACTTGGGCTTGAGCTTTGATCCAATAAAATTTTTGATACAATAATTAATGGAAATTGTTTCATCGGACCAGATCATCAGATATATATAACAATCCTTCCATCACTTGTTCCTCACACCAGATTTCAAAATTCGAAATCTCTCTCTTCTTTCCCATATTCACTTCATCTAATTTTTTTTTGTTTTCGAGTGGCATGTTTGCGC